TACCATATATTGAATTTGCCCTTTCGGAGGAGATGAATGACAACAAAATCAAATCTGAATTTTTTTGGCCATTATTTCTTCGTATTTTGCAAGTTGGGTATGTGTTTTTGATACTTTGTTATTACAAGATTCGAGGACGAGTGTTCTCCAATCGAGGGAGTATGATGAACATTAAGACAAAGATTCAAGGATGAATTTATTTTGAGGAAAGTGAAAATGATGAGAATAAAGAGAGTCAAGGTTGTATTAATAGAAACTAAGGAGACAAATGGGCCAACAAGGTGATGTGTCCAAAGGAGATCCAAGATGGCGAGTTTACAAGTCTAACATTTGATCCATTACACATTAAAGGTGGTCCAATGATGTGGGCTAGGGCTAAAAAGCTCTTCATAGGCTGATTCAACAGAGTTTGGCAGAATGCATTTCTAAGGGCCCAAGGGAGCATTGTGGCGCCATCTTAAGAGAAGAGGGGGATCCAAGACTTTTCAATCTGATCCAAGTCTAAGATTGGGCTTCTTAAATTATATTGGGTCTATTTTGTTATATCTAACTTAATTATAATTAGAACTAATTAATTAAGTCGGATTTGGGCTCAATGTTTTAAGCTCTATTATTTTCATATTCTTTCAAGTCCATTAGGGTTTGTTAATGTTCTCCTTAGTTGGCAAGGACATGTTGGGTCCTTTTAGGGTTAGGAGTGGCGTGTTTAGCCTATTAAAAGGCTGGTTTAGTTTTATTTCAAACTAGCACAATAATTTTGAGAGTTAATAAATTGAGAGGATTTTGTTCCTTTGTTCTTTTGAGAACTAAATCTGACTTATCAAGGTTACAACCCTTGTGGCATCTATGAACTTATCATCCTCCATAGGTGTGGCATTCTTCACTCCATTACATTATAGCTTCGATTCTTGTCTCCTTATAGGCAACAGGTCGGGTTTTGCTTATTATAACTTGATTGGGTACGTTTTAGGATTGTCTATTGACAAAGGTTTTTAGGTCTCTCGTCTTTATACATGGTGTTCGCATCACCTAATGTAAGCATCAACCTAAAGTGTCATATCACAATTAATAAAGATCATTAGGCAATCATGAATTGTTCAATTATAATACATAACATGACTGGATATTACCCACCCTAATGAATCAAGAATTGGATAGGCTACTTAAACTAGGATTAATAATACTAGGATTAATAATGCTGAGGTATTGACGAGATATAATTAACAATAGATGTATATAAAGTGAAAAGATAATTACTACTACATAGTTCGACGTAACCTAATTATCTCTAGGCCACTTAATTTTTGCTTACAATTAACGATGTTATTACATCATAGGTCATACAAGAGTAGGGAAATAATGAGGTATTTCCTAGTGTAGGACTAATTTGGTAAATTGTACGATTTATATCATGGTGAGATTGCTATAATTTGGAATAATTATGAGTCAACTCTCGATTACGCCATATCTCCTAATGATAGATTGGCCTCTAGAGATCAGTCATTTATATAAGTATGGATTGTGCAAGGAAAGAACAATATGATAATAACATATTATTATCATATTTAATCATATTACTCTATTTATTCTCAAGCATTATATTAGGAGATATGGTGAATTAGATAACCTAATCATTTGAAGATACTTATTAACCTTAATATAATATCGGGTATCAAATGGATTTGGCCAGTACCAAATAGAGTAAGGGCTTGATATTACAACATTAACATAAGAATGTATCTAACTAGAGCTATTAGTAGGAAATTAAAACCAAAAGTATAATAATAATTTCTAGGTATAACCCATATATTGATATGTAAATCCCTCTTATTTTAATGCTATATTATCAAGATGGAAAGTAAATTTATATTTTTATATTAGGATACTATTACTCTCTTATAATCAATATTATGACCACTTATATTAATATTACCTTTTGGGAGAATAACAATGTCTCCCTTAGATGTCTAATCTATATACTGACCAATCATAATACTTTGTAACACTCCCTTAACTTCAAGTGAAATATAGGACTGAAATAGGTTATGGCCATTTCAATTACTATTCAAGCTATAATAGCTTGGTCACTTACTTTACGAGTTAATATCTTTAGGATAAGGTATTGATATGTTACCCAGGCCTTGTTATGATATCTTGTCAATCTAAGAACACTTTATCATGATTGATTTCTCTTAACTAGGTAAAAGATTATCCTTAATACATCATGGATATTATCAATATTTAAATCAAGGTTGGGCATAATTCACTCTCGGTGTTAGTATTTTGGGGAATAGTATCCAAGTGGTAAAAGAATACATATCAAGTATGGGTAATGTATTTATTTGACTGATACTAAACATAGGCCGAGATTGAGATTCTAATAGCCCATTGAACCTTTTAATACTTATAACTATTAACTTTGTCAATAATTCCCATCTACTTTTATAAGTAGGGGTACGCAATCAACTAACCTATATCATTAAAAGGTTGAATGGGGAAATATTATACCTATAGTACATTACTAGTGTTCATAATCAATGTATACTACTAGGGTTATTAGGTATTGATATATAACCTGATAATAATATGATATTAGAGGGGTAATATCTCTAGTGAGTATAATGAAATATTATATACATTAGTATTAAATGGGCCTTAAAATGTTACTATCGATTTAATTATTGTACTCATTCACCAGGTATTCACTATCTATTTACATATCATCTGTTGGTATTATCAATAAGGTCCCGGCAGTTTTCTTATGATATATACCATATCTGGTCTCCCTCAATATTACACTTGTATATTGGAGGATAACTATAATGAATGGGTATTATAATATAACATACTAATACCTTTCGATATGGGCTAACATTGAGGTCTAATTAATAAGGTTTAACTATGGCCACAATAGGGAGTATATAGGGATTATCTTTTAATCCCTAATGATCTTTAACCTATTTATCATACTCCATGAATATTCCCTTATGTAACTAGTTATAGTTATTACCATGATATATCAAGGTCCTCCATACATATTAGTTAAAGATTGACAGATAATTACTCCAAGCCCATTATACTCATCTATTACATTTAGTATGTAATGATTATACCTTTCTATTATTTATAATGTTAGGGGTGAACGAGGCTAGATAACAATTGCTGAATTATCCTATAGGTTATAACTTATCTTTGTTTCCCATATATTATAGGTATGGCATTATAATATCCTAACATCTCTAAGTTAATTGAGGAGTAATAACATTCATAGTTCAACCACTTGAATAGTAGCCCCTAATATCTAAGGAGAATAATATTAAGGATATACATTAAGACTGTATTGGTAATACTCTATGTATAATATTTAGGTATAATTGGTCAGCTAATTCATGCATAAACTATACTTGGACCATCAATGACCAAATAAAAATGCATTATAATTTCTCAGTGGGCACACCCTTATCCAAATAGCTAAATCTTTAAGGGTATATTTATAACCCATGAATAATATTGTAACAAGCCCTTACAATGGAGAGAATATATTATCAAAATAAAAGGAGGGTTATCCAATTCGATCATTAGTCCTTATAATCAGATTAAAATGATTTGGGCCATTAATATAAGGGAATAATTACCATGTGATAAAATGGTACTAGCGTTAGATCTTTTATTGGAGAAGTCCTCTTGTGATGAATATAATTAGTACCTCTTATAATAAGGCTATTCCCATATATAACAAATTGTTCATAAGCATAAATTAGTTAATCCATATAATAACTATTGAACCAAGGGATTACCAATAATAGGTCAATTAAACTGAGTACCCCTTCTATTTACCATTATATCAGCTTGATATGGTTCCTTATTATTATCATATAGTAGTAATGAACCTTATATGATACCATTGATAGAGGATAAAAGTGGTATGCACCCGATATTCTTTAATGGTTACATATCGTTATCATAACTATTAACCATTTTAACCCTAATTACTTTTATCCAAGCAATACATTAATATTGTTAAATTGATTATCCAATTTAAACTAATGATGGTGAATTGATACAGTAGTATAATGTGGGTCATATAATTGATTACTTATAATTTGATTCAATATACTTATATGCATTGTATAGCCAATTTAGAAAGCATAATCGATTATGTACATCCCATTCTGAAGAGATTCTTATATCCCATAAACGTGATGGTTTACAATAATTGGTTTTGTATATTAAATGAGAATATCGATTAGTACCATAATATTTAAGATTAAGTATATGGGGATAAATGAGAACTAGGTGATAACAATAGTTTTGTATATTAGACATCCCTCTATCCTTAAACAATAGCAGTTCCTGCAATAGTATAGCCTTAAACAACTATCTTTAGTATCAAAGATGATTGAACCTTGGGCTATAAGCATATTAATTGATTTAATATACCATATTTTCTATATAATTTTGATAATGACTTGATAATTAGGCTAACCATTAACAATATTCCCTTTATATAACTATATGCTTGTGATATTGAGTTAATTAATGCTCTCCACACAGGTTTTATATCCTATGACTATCAATATACTCAATAGGATAGTTCCTCATCTATATAGGGAATGGGCTAATTGGTGACTTGGGGTATACTCTTGAGAGATACGAGATAATTTTATGCTCTGTCTTTATAATGGGTAAAGACGTTTTAGATACACCATACTCATTATAATGTCATGGGATATGTGACATAATACTTGATATGAGGAAGAGAGGGAAATATTACCGATGTATATCTATTCTTATTATAATGATTTTTTAAAATCAAGCATAAAATTAACCATGTTGCCGTTTATCTAGGCAATATTATCGAAATAATCACTAGGACCAATGGAGGCCTAACCTTTGGTCACCTCATAGATAATATGGTATATTGTTAATGGTTTAATTAGATATTAGTAACAATACTATATTGTGAGTACATTAAAATAGTTGATATTATTGGTCCATACTTGATCCCTACCATGAGTGATCATACTATTTAACTGTATATTTATATTATAGCCTCATGGATTTATATGAGGTATTTATATGGGAAAACTCTATCCAGTGATAATATACCTATCCATTTATTAGATAATAATGTTGTATTATGATACTTTTCACAATATCTATATTATAAGAATATTATCAGATAGGAAGATAAGGAACCAATTTAAGGTTAGAAGGTACTCCAATATAGGACTCATTATAACTATCAATCGTAATTATTACTAATAATCAATGGATATTAGGTCCCATGTAATGAGATGGTAAGCGTGATAGTGGCTAGTCTAGTGGATAAATTGATGGCTAGTAATCTTTTCTCGTATAACCCCTATTGGGGAAACAAGGTTAGAGTATATCAGCCTAAGATAGTCACTAAAATAGCTATAATTATGCCATATATCCCATGCAAATATCTTTTATAGGGAGGTGAATTATAATCCATAATAGTTGGCATATGGTTATTATAACTATATGGGCCATAACATTAAAGATACACAACTGTATAGATAACAATAGATGACAAAACCCTAATTGATTATCGGTATAGGGAAACAATAAACATTAAGGGAGCGTTTGATATTTGAGGAAGTAGAGTATCCAATACTTACTCTCCCTTAGAACGTTTGGTGACTACTTGGAAGTTATCTTAATAATGTTTGGCCTAGGAAATATATAGATTAATGATATTACATAATTTGGTGGGTAGGATAATAGAGGGTATTATCCCTGTATGCTAAGAGTATGGTTAGTGAGATGCCCTTAACATCTTGATCTAATTTAAACATGGGCAAAGTATCTAATTGACACTCATGTGTATATTAATGAGTATCAAGTAATTATAGATATACCTATGATACTTATGCATATTAATCATACAAACCAAAAGGTTATACAAATTATTTATCGAATTATAGGCCTCTAGTTCAGCCTATTAACAATAGTTAGATAACTAAACTATAATTAATTATCAAGATTATTAATGAATAGATATATTCTCTATAAATGCAAGCATGTGATCACTCAATAAATGTAGCGATTTTAGGTAATCGAAGAATTACCTATCCTCATCTTTACGATTAAGAAACATAGGCCTAGTGTAATATAAGTCGACATCACTATTAGATGGCCCATCTATGAGCATATTTAACTAGTATAGTTCGATATATTATCATCCACCTTATATAGGGATTTTAATATATATCGAGGTTAACTCATCTCTAATGGTTATTGTTATTACCACCTTATAATAGGTATATCCTCTATACCTAATCTTTTACATAATTGATTAATTATAGTTGTTCAATACTAAGTGGTCATCGTAAAATATGTCATAGTAACAAGTAAATATAGATTTCATCTATTCATAGTATATTCTTACACATTTCATCTATTCATCCACTATCTTGGTTATCTTTGGACATGGTTAGAATAATAATTTTCTCTAAATAACCGTTATTGTCTTACCTAGTTATGATGTTATAATCGATTTATATAACCTCATGTTGATCCATAAATATCTTAGGGTAATTCTTGATAGTTACCATTAATCATCCCTATAATGTACCCACTAATATTCCATGTAATACATTATGATTTTTTATTGGATAACTATTATCCTTTCTAATGGTTAGTAAGAAACCATACCAAATAGCAATTATTAACCTAAACTCGAAGGGTAATTTGGCATACGAGTTATAGCCTCGTATTTCTCGTAATTGGGCTAATCTTCACTTATAGGTTATATAATGACCAATAATAGTTTATTTTAATGTATTCCATATGGTTAATATTACTATTCTATAATTTGTAATAATTACATATTAGGTTAATAATATTATTAGTGGAGTACCAATAATGAACTATTCATTGGGTGCTTATAGGATAAGTATACTATCAAACCACTATCTATCCCCTTCGTTTCCATACTATAAATCACCTTATCAAATAGATAATGTTCTTATATGTCTTAATGACCCATGTATACTATACTATTATCCTATGCTTATTTTGGGATAAATTTAACCTTTGATATCACCTAGAATATTATTATTATAAATACTCTTTTTACATGGTCCCTATAGCTCACCATGATGATTATATGGCTTAAATTATACCATTGATTGGTATCCTCCTAACTAGTTATCCCCTTAGTATTAATAAGATACTAAATCACCTTATGATAGTCACATCTATCCTAAAGTACATATATCCTAATAACAAAATTAATCATAAATGTGTTTAGGACTATTTAGGGAAAAGACTTAGGATAACTATGATATTCATTATATAGACCCAATTATATTGATAGGCCATAATAGTTTATTTATACTATCCGGTAATCAGTCTCCTATAATGGCCTATGGTCACATAAACCTCATATTAATAATGTAACCCTTTGGATATTACCTATCCATCTCTGTCTAATTTAACCGAGAGTGAATATAATATCAAAATGTACATAATCCATGTGGACAAGATCGATTTTCTCCATCTTATTATGTATTGCATACCATCACTCTCATTTGGTAGAGGACTCTATATAACCACTCCATCTCTCCCGAGTATAGTAGTTTTTACATAATTGATTACCAATTATTGGACTAACCATTAGTATCTAACTATATATAGCCCTTTATATCAACTATATAGATTAAAATAATGTCATGACCTAGGGAATATTAATAAGATTAAAGGCTATATTAATCATCTTACATTAATATAGGGAGAATTCGTATAGTGGGCTATATAAGCTGATTTGCCTATAGTGTAAATCAGTGGCCTATGCATATAGTATTATACTTCCTTAAATATGATTATAGAGCCTCTTATAATTTTGGTTTCTATGTTCCACTCTGGGTTATATAATGATATGGTCCACACTTATAGGGTTTGAGTGCCCCAACTTACCAATAGTTAACTTATATCATGGATAATAATAGATCCTCTTTGCTAATTTACTAGAGAAGGGACTATAGGGTAACCCAAAGGATAGTTTATAATTTGCCAATATAATTGTCCCCATGATATAGTCTTCCCACTGATTTGGTAAGGTTACATTAAGTTATACAATGCATCAAATACCCTAATGATACCTAATCTACTCATGATATATACCTTCATGAGGACATGGGAGGTTGATAAATAACTAATATTTTATTAACATGGGTTATTTAGGCTACATAAGCAAATACCATTAAAAGTATCAATGTGAATGTAATATCAAAAGGTACACAATCCACATGGATAAGACCGATTTTCTCCATCTTAGAAGTATTATAATATTAATTCTGCTTGTTGATTAAAACGCCCACTCTATTAACGTTAGAATACCTATGATACATTAACTAAATGTTTGGTAGACCATTATCATTACAACCATTATATAGATTCCTAACCATAGTAGATCGAGGGTTAAGGTAAATTTGGTTAAATTAATTGGGTAATACTAGATATATATGATTCACTATCCATGTTTGCCACTAATGAGAAAAGGTTAATAGCCATGAATGATAAAGCGGGTAGATAACTAATAACAAAAGGAGGGTTAATATTTATTTTTTCAATATGATACATTAATAATAATACTACCCAATTATGATAATCATAGCTATCCTAAAGTACATATATCCCAATAACAAAATTAAGATTAAAGGATAAGCCCAGTAATAACTATAATTATCTCTTTTAATGGACATAGACATATAAGTGGTTATGGGTTATCATTGTAGATATCTTGACCTAATTAGTTGACATCTTATAGTGCTATACTTCTTCGTTAGATGTTACAAGGTATGTCAAGCTAGGTAATATTGTAATAACTAAGGAGTACATAAGTACATTATAATATGAAAAATGGGTTAATTTCATCATGTATATATCCCGAATATATAATAGGGGAATAGTATAAATAGTGGGACAATGATGGTTTCTATGAATTAGATTAGACACCATATAGGGGAACTAAATATGAAACATGGTATAATAATCTTGATAATTACCATATCAGTCCCATTCTCCTAGTGAGTTATTACCTATTATATCTCTCTAATTGATATAATGGACCAACACATACATAGAATCCCTTATTAGAGGATGATCATTTTTTTAACCATATAATTATGAATATTATAACTGGTAATATTAGGTGATTACACTTAGTCTTGTGTAAGAAGGGATTATAGATAACGTTAATTAGGTCTATGATAGAACATATACTTTAGGTATGATGATATGGTGTCTAAACATGCCGATTGTAGGAGACAATAAGTAAATGGATAGTATTGTGTCCACTTAATATTAGGCCTAATGTATACTAACAAATATATACCTCCTAGGAAATATTTATAGGTTATCAAGTTCATTCCCTATAATCATAAATAGTAGGTAAACTATTATTAATACCCGTTATATATCTAATGTTCAATAGTATTAGAGGTCCAAGTAGTATAGGCATAATAATCCCTCATGACGTTCCATCAATTTACCATATCATTATCTAATATGATATAAACTTGGATACGAAGGGTTATTTTAATTATCGGATAACATATAGTTAGAATCTACATTACTGATACTCTAGGTAGCCCTATTTGGTAATCTTAAGTCCCTCAATGTTAAGAGGGATTGTCAACACATTAGGCTAAAACTATCACCTATAATCTAATATGGAGTATCCACTTTAAGGATAACTATTCCATAAGTAATTGTATACTATCGGACACTAGCCTAACATAAATTGCACTAAGACAAGATTATGAGTTAGCCTATATCTCTTGATATAGCCCAACCTATAGGTTATATAACCTCTTATCATATTGAGGGACTTAAGATTACCAAATATGGTATCCACAACGATAGTTGTTATAGGATGATCAAGATTAATACTAGGATGGCCCATTACTTTTGGCTTAGAATATTTATTATAAGATGAGATTCAATTTTGATTATATATTGATATCAAGTATAATATCCCCTATAATGGGTACAACATCTAAAATTTTTTATTAGTGAATATAACCCATGTATGGAATGACCTTTATACAATTACTCTAACCTTTTATCTTCTCTATTGATCATAATTAAATATACAACTCTATATAATATAGTTTACCAACCTTAAATAGTATAATATGATGGGCTATTGAAAATTGAATAAATTTAGAGGTATTTGGTATGTGATGTCCTCAATCCATAAATAGAACAACCTAATGAGATGTATGACCACCTAGTATCATTATAGAATGATCTATAACATTAGGTTAATACTATCAACATTTGATGCGATAAGGACATCTTAACTAATAAGGGATACGTATTATAATCACCCTTACTACGTTAACATTACCCTCAGCTATTATCTACTCATGGTATCATAACCATCAAGATAATTATATCCCGATAACTCATGTTGGGCTTAATATAAGGTAATTATAGATAATAGTCCTATGTGGAGAATATAATGGTCCTTAACCAATTGGCCTCTCTCTAGACCCTTCATTATATACCCATTAAACAATTAGTGACCTCTATTTAGAATCACCTTATATACCCATAAAAATTAGTGTTGAGTCACCATACTATTTAATTGGGCTAATCTCTAGACCCTTCAAGGGACAGATAGCTCATGCTTGAAGAATCCTATCATTCTCATGCATTCTTACACGTTTCATCTATTCATCCATTTTATAAAAACACATTGTAATAAACTATAAGGAATACTTCCCTATTGGGATGATAGATTTGGCATAAATAATGTTTGTACTATTCCATTGACTAAACCAAATACTATACCAATATTAGTGAAATGTCTTTTAGGATTATATAGTTAGGATAACACTATTTAAAGGATATTATAATATAAAGGTAAATATGGATATACTATTTGGTTATTAGGAGGGTAAATATGATATAATAGACATATCGGTCTCTCTCTAGTTATGATGTACAACTCTTTATGTCGATTAGTTTATTTATAGGGAAAGGTGCCAACTATTTGATAGACTAATATTTCACTTGATGGCTTATTAATGGTTGATAAAGTATGGATATTGAACTTGTATTCTCTCTTAATCATCTAATGTTTATAATACCATCCTTGTAGATGGGTCCATTCTCCCTTTATGATGATTGGGGGATTTATTTCAATAAATTCTTCCTAACCTTATATGATAAATACCTATTTAGCAATAAAGATGGGATAAATAAGTGTCATGATTGTTTATCGGTTAACAATGGTCAAGATATATGGTAGGCATGAGCAATCTATCATTTAGAGATTAAGCCAATATCAGCCCAATCACCGATATAATTTCTCCCTCACTTAAATCTCTCATTTAAGAGGACCTTTATATATCTATAAATTAGAAATCTTTTCTAATATCAATATCTCCTTTTAAAAACCAAATCTAGTTTGGAATTATTATCGTATAGTCATAAGAATACTACTTAATTGGAATTAAATTGAGATCACGTATTTTGATACCTATACAAGTTCATGATATATTTTCATGATTATAATTTAAAGAGTATAGAGAGTTATGGGAAAAGAATGTGTAATTTATCAAATAGCATGTACTCTTATCTAACTCCTTTAGCATATAAGAAATGAACAAGGGTCCATTAACACTAATTGTTATGCCCTAATATTGTAAGCTTAGATCAAGAGTACATGCTATAGACAGTGAGTAATAATATTAATAGTGAATCATATTATGGCCACTTATTTCATATTTTAGTACTACCTATGGTTTAAGAGGACCTTACATTATATGATCTATCTAGTGGGTCATTTTAGTTTTGCCTATGGTTTAGGAGGTATAATAACTTACAATATTTATCAAATTAGAATTTTATACATTATGAATGTATCCTACTATCCATTAGTCTAGGGTTATATTCGGGGGTAAAATATTCGTTTGCTAAGCATACAAAGAGTCATATAGATGTTAGATTTAACAATGCTTAATAATTATTTCTATTAGGATAAAGGGTGTAATCATAATTAGGCATTAGTTAGAGGTACTATTCCCGACTCAGGGGATAATAAATAGTTATGAACGGGTTAACTTAGCTTCATAAGGGAGTATTTGGGTTCCCGCATCGAGTACAATTGGAGAGCTAGCATACACGTAGCTTGTTTAAATGTAGGATAATATATTATAATGAATGTCTCTCCCCAGTTTATAATTACTTAATAATTATAAATATTTAAATGGTGGTTATGACTTTAAGGACCATTTGAATATTAAGAAATTCGTAATACAAAAGGGTTTACTCCTAACTCACTTAAACGTGATTAATCTCTAAAGGTATAGATAATTGGTCATTATGGGTATTCAAATAATTAGGCTGATAGAAATAATGAACAATTATGTATATTAATACTAGTGAATATAGTATTATGCTCAATCTTATAGAAATATAACTTATTAATAGATTAGTCAAATAAACCTAATGGAGACATTATTGTAAGATTCGAGCCGTGTAGGCCACCAGTATAATGGATGAATTGATACAGCATGGCCTACCTGGGATGACATTGCTTTTTTCGATAATTGGGGAAGTTTATAATAGGAAGATGCCCTTAACATCTATAGTTGATCCCTCCATTAGATAATTTATGTCCTTGAGGTAATATTCATCGTGTATATATAAGGATCTATCACATAAATGGAATAGCATTTAAGTGGCTACATTGTCATTCTCCAATGTAGTATAATAGTTTAATAATACTATCATAGTAATAGGGATTGATCCATAATTAAGGTATGTACTATTTAGAGAAAACTAAATATATGGGATATTAATAGTCCTATACATAGTGTATTAACTATCATTTGAAATATCTAGTTATTCATATAATTACTACATTTACTCTTATGAACAATATGGTTATTTCATATAATTGGAATAATTGGGCCTACTCTAAAATATCAATAATCCTCGTAAAGATCTTATATCCAAGCGACCATATATTTGATTTCATATTAAATAGTCTATGTTATCAAGCATATGATACTGGAAGATAATTAGGCCTTTGGGCCAAGGGATTAAACCCATGTAATAATCGTTATTGCATATAAATAGTATACAACTAGATGAATTTGTTGAGGTTGCATAATAATATTATGTTTGTTCCTCGAATTAGAATGGAGATATATAACTAGTTGATTAATTAGAGATGTTCAATAATAGCTATCATTGTTACTAGTGTAATACTAGAGTGAAGAGGTAAATAGGTTAATAACATGGCTAATAGAGGATTCTATTAATAATCAACTGGTTATATCCCTCCATTCTAATTCGATCAACTATAATCGGTATATAGATTATAAGACTTGGTTATATATTGCCAACTTAATATCTCCATATAAGTGGACCATGATTACCAAATGGTAAAAATTGATTATAATATGAGAACAAACATAGTTGGTCATTATTCATGTAGCCTATACACCTATAATTATTAGGGGATTAACTCCCTGTATTCTCATTTAACTATCATCCCTAACTTGATAAGGATGGCCTAATAAATGATAGATATATCATTCTAATTTTCCATTAATCTCTAATTGTATAACCCTATCCGTTTCACTATATTAATCCTCACTATTAATTTGTGTAGCCTATTATGGTGATTAAGTGGTAAAATTGATACCCTATATAGCATATTTTCTAAATTGGGTTGCTATATGATGCATTGGTAGAGAGTGTGGTGCCTTTATATGAATACGACAATAATTTCATGAGTGCCTCCCTCATTAATCCATGGCCATATTAACAATATAAGGGGGCATATAGGTTGTGAATAGGCTATGCCCTCGGATATTAAGGAATATAATGGTTCCCATAAGAGATAGTCAACACTAATATTTAGGGACACCCCTACGTTCCTCTAATTGCAACTAAACTATAACCTTTTATCTAAGGATGTGTTCTAAGTAATCTTATTGAGTCCTTATTTTACCACTAGTTGGTAACCACCCAATGATAAAATCAAATACGACCATCATAGTCTATCTAATGGTTATCGGATATAATCCTAATACCCGTTAGAATACTCATCATAAACATATATTAGTGTCCCATTCTATTTAAGTTATTATATTACCCTTTTAACTCTATCATAATTGGATAAACTATGATATTAACTATTGGGAACTGATTTAACCATCGATGGGATAGTTGGGTAACTATACTTGAATATATATACATATTATCTCTATGTTGATTATATTACGTCCTATCTACCCATAATACCATAGTATTTATCCAGGGTGTAAATTGACCCATAAAAAGAGAAAATTTACTAAAAGTGATGGACATATCCTATTATTAACTAGGTGGTTAGCCCATTGTTCTCCTTATATTAGGCCCTTATCCCCATGAAGAAATATTTGGAGTAATTTACATATGGTCCGATTAGTGTATCCTTGTAAACACATGGATAAGTACTAAAATATACTAGATTATGTTATCGCTTTTTATATAGTATATTGGGATTGTGCATGTATTCTAGTATTGGCCTATCTATAGGATCGGAGAGAAATATACTAAAATATACTATAATAGACTCCAATTATAACTAATATATAAGGTGAATATATGGTGAGTACATTAATCGGTATATTCTCATGATATATTATAGGTGATATAAAATCATAATAGTTATGGGTTACCAATATAGGCCTATATTAAGGTTTTCTCGATGCTATCAAAAAACCTTAATACTGTTTTATCAGCCTAGTCAATATTTAGTACAATCTAGGTATATGGCCTAGGCCCAATACTTAATTATATTTATAATTACTATTAATCTCCCAATCAAACCATCCAATTATGCCAAGGAGTCAAATGTTTCATACTACCATCCAAGTGATGATATAAGATGGTCACCTACTCAATCCTTGGTAATATACCCAACTAATTAGGTATATATCCTAGTCTTAAGCATAAGAGGGTTAATCGCTAACTTAATTGTTCCGATGATTATTTGTACTAAGACATATTTACAACCATTTTTTAGGATTACTATTATCCCAAAGATAGGGTGATCCATTAATATCTACCAATTTACCATTGGTGATAACAAGAGGGACATGACATTATTATCCCTTCATAAATCATTAACCAATTCTAGAGGTGGTATCTTATACTATCAAATTCTAGATCATATAATCTTATCAAGGGATGTTGTATAATATTCAGTAAGTGGGTATGATATTAAAAATTAGTATCATGGCTACAAGGATAAATACTAAAATAAAGCTATTGTCGAGGGATACAGGATATAGAGCTTGTTAATAGTAATGATTAACCTTTACTGGAGTATTATCATCTATTTCAGAGGCCTATTCCCCATAATAGACTTTAGATAACTATGATATTTGTACTATATTAGTACAAATAATCTACTAGATATAGGTCCTCAATAATTATTAGGATTCCTAATATTTGGTCAAATTTAATGCCTAACATCATAGTTATATTTAACTATATTATGGACCTCAGTTGTATATCCTAAGTGTATCCCTAAGTGGAAGATAACCACCTGGATAATGATATAATTCATAGTAATAACCCCTTATATCATCTATTTCAGGTTACAATCAAGATAATACCACTCAATTCATAGTGATAATAGATGGAGTGAGATAATTAAGGATGTGTAGGTTTAGATGACTACAAAGACTGATTGATACTGGGGTATATATTACATTTTATCTATGAATAGATGATTGGATATGACTAAATTAATAATAATGTTCTTTTTTTAGTATTATAATATAACATACTAATACCTTTGTTAATTACCCTAGAATTATCATTGTACAACGAGGATTAATATCCACTAGTTGCCACTATAAACCAATGGTCCCAATTTCATACTATTGAATGTATCCGAATATTAATTAGTATACACTATAACCAATGTTCCCCATTAGATTCTCTTATATTAGCCATGTGATTATTAACAAAGGGAATCCTGTTAATCCTAAAGATTTTATTGGTCATAAAGATTATGTGCTAAAATAATCAACTAGAGGTAATTAAACTCGATAAATGTATACCCTAATATAGTCTTCATGATCCCCTATCTATATTTGCATAGGGTTATTTATTATGAATATTATGCTATTATATTGTAAATCTATCCACCTAATTATAGCGTATATTTGATAAACTTGATTATCGGGTATCCTATATTGATATGGTATCCCTATACTATTTTTTGGGCATGATATTAATGGATCACTCCCTCAGTGGTTATATGATAATTACTCAAATTAGTCTATATCCTTTTAAACTTATAAGGTACTTCACGATGTTTAATATTACCTCTATATTGGGACTAGAATGAGTAAATTTTAAAGGATGATTATATAAAAGGATATTATATGGTCAATATTTCCCTACTGTGATTAATAAAAAATATTAACTAATACGAACATGGGCTGCTCAAACCTCAATGTTATCATCAATAAGGAGATGGGCTATTTCATTTTGGACCTAATCACAAGGGCTAGGGCCAAGAAGTTTCATGAGTCCTTAAATGAGCTTATTCAATATCAATGGGCTGATTTCTCCATCACTAGGCTTGAAGAACATCAATTGGGCCTTGTGGCATATCGATCCATGCTATGGGGTCGAAAGTTTCAGACTTAAAGTCCAATCTAGCTAAACTTTCTTATCTTGATGTTTTGGGCCGAGATTGTTAAGTGGCAACTCTAGAATCAGCCCACTTCTAAGCCAAAGTCACCATTATTTTCAAGTCAACAAAATTAAGATTTGGGCTCGAAATTCTAGATGCTGAATTCAAGGAGTTCGTGTCTAATTTCAAGAAGACTTTTCAAAGCTTTGTTGGATCCAAAATTTTTGAAAGTTAGATCCTATGTAATTTAATTCTACTTTGTCTTTCTGAATTTTCCATAGCTTATTTATGTAAAAAGAATGTGTAATTTCGTTTTTAATCAATCTTTGAATCAAATCAACCTTTGTGAGAAAATTCACACCTTAGTTTTTTCTAGAACTAAATTTCAGAACTTATCAAGAGTCTAATTCGATTCTTGTGGTATTCGTAGCGACTTATCACTCCCCTTCTACCTATCTGGAGTGTGGCATCCATATCGTTC